TAAAATTACTTCCATTTTAAGTAAACGACCGTGTGGACAAAATTATGCTTCTTTAGTTCTTTACATGTCACATACTCAACAACGGATGAGAGATTCAATATAAATAACGCGACCACATACATATCAGTTTAAAAATGGTGATGAGAGTTGATACCTTATTGTAACATCAATCTTTTATCCTTGTGAGTTTTGTCACATAAACACTTTTAAATAGCGAACGAAGATGAAGAGTGAGTTAGGATTTCCTTCAACAAACAGTATTAAAACACATTAATGACGTCTATGTAGAACATTCTAGTTATATAACTAAGTATACATCACTAACTAAAAACAATTGTTATTGAAATAAAAATACGTAAATAAGAACCTCATGCAGAGAACATAATAACATTGAGATTAGTCAAATTTAAAAGGACTGCTGCTATATCTTATAAAATTTCACAAGTTTTATTTCAGGAATAGAGAATCACCTATCTTAGACAGGATTTGAATGCCAATGTTTAAGGCACGAATTTCGAAACTGTGAATGGAATTTTCCTTTATTAATCAAAAATTCCATACATGTATATTCTTGCATAATCAGTTCATATTATAAAAAATCTTTGTTATTAAATAAACCTTGTAAATCATGAATACATTTCAAACATCAACTGCACGCAATTATAATTACTTATGATCAATAAAGACACTGTAGATACAACAGTAAAGGATGCAATGAAAGTAAACCTTAAAACTGTTAAACAAACATATCAAAAGTATAATTTTAAAAGCTCTGTGTTGCATCAATCAACACTTCACAAAAATAGATTCTGTGTAAATACATTTTTCGTGTGTTCAACATTTGCTTATTTTACAAATTTTCATACTTTTAAAATGAATGGTTTGCTCAATACAATTAACAACACTTTGTTAGACACACAGCGATTACTCAAAAGTGGCGTCGGCAAAAAGGAGGTGATGCATTAGACATGCTCTCCTCTCTACATAAATTTTCACAGTTTTTCCATAGACAAGTATGTTATTTCACCTCTCCCATACCTTTGAACAGGTTTTGCTTTCCTTTACCATGCACTTATTGTCAATAGTTAGAAAGTTGGTATATAAATTAGATATGATTTCTCATGCATGTTTAGTCATACTTTATCGAGATGCTTTAGCTAATTTGTTATGTCGGTAATGTAGTTCTAAATATCTTAATTTTCTAAATTTACTCCCGTTTTAGAAGTAAGACGACCGTGTGAACAAAATTATGCTTCCTTTAGTTCTTTACAAGTTGCATAACTTACAAAGATGAGAGGTTTAATATAAAGAACGCGACCAAATACATATCAGTTTAAAAATGGTTATGATAATTCATACCTTATTGTAATATCAATCTTTTATCTTTGTGAGTTTTTTCAAATAAACACTTTTAAATAGCGAACGAAGATGAAGAGTGAGTCAGGATTTCCTTCAACAAACAGTATTAAAACACATTAATGACGTCTATGTAGAACATTCTAGTTATATAACTAAGTATACATCACTAACTAAAAACAATTGTTATTGAAATAAAAATACGTAAATAAGAACCTCATGCAGAGAACATAATAACATTGAGATTAGTCAAATTTAAAAGGACTGCTGCTATATCTTATAAAGTTTGACAAGTTTTATTTCAGGAATAGAGAATCACCTATCTTAGACAGGATTTGAATGCCAATGTTTAAGGCACGAATTTCGAAACTGTGAATGGAATTTTCCCTTCATTAATAAAAAATTCCATACATGTATATCCTTGCATATGTCAGTTCATATTAAAAAAAATCTTTGTTATTAAATAAAACTTTGTAAATCATGAATACATTTCAAACATCAACTACACGCAATTATAATTACTTATGATCAATAAAGACACTGTAGATACAACACTAAAGGATGCAATGAAAGTAAATCTTAAAACTGTTAAACAATTATAATTAAAAGTTTAATTATAAAAGCACACTGTGTTGCATGAATCAACATTTTACAAAAATAGATTCGGTTGCGTCTTTCTCTGTATAAATACATTTTTCCTGTGTTTAACATTTGCATATTTTTGAAATTTTTTTACTTTTAAAAGAAATGATTTGTTGTATACAACTATCAACATTTTGCTAGACACACAGAGATTAGTCAAAAGTGGCGTCAGGAATAAGGGAGGTGATGCATGATTGGACACGTACCCCTCCCTACATAAATTTTCACAGATTCCCATTTTTTCATAGACAAGTATGCTATTTCAACTCTCCCATATCTTTGAACAGGTTTTGCTTTCCTTTACCATGCAGCTTATTGTCAATACTTAGAAAGTTGGTATATAAATTTAGATATGATTTCTCATTCATGTTTAGTCATACTTTATCGAGATGCTGCTTTAGCTAATTTGTTATGTCGGTAATGTAGTTCTGAAATATCACTTAATTTTCCAAATACACTTCCGTTTTAGAAATAAGACGACCGTGTGAACAAAATTATGCTTGCTTTAGTTCTTTACATGTCATATACTCAACAAACGGATGAGAGATTTAATATAAACAACGCGACCACATACATCAGATGAAAATGGTGATGAAAGTTCATACCTTATTGTAACATCAATCTTTTATCCTGATGAGTTTTGTTACATAAACACATTTGAATAACGAACGAAGATGAAGAGTGAGTCAGGATCTCTTTCAACAAACAGTATTAAAACACATTAATGACGTCTATGTAGAACATTCTAGTTATATAACTAAGTATACATCACTAACTAAAATAATTGTTATTGAAATAAAAATACATAAATAAAACCTCATGCAGAGAACATAATAACATTGAGATTAGTCAAATTTAAAAGGACTACTGCTAAATCTTATAAAGTTTCACAAGTTTTATTTCAGGAATAGAGAATCACCTATCTTAGACAGGATTTGAATGCCAATGTTTAAGGCACAATTTTCGAAACTGTGAATGGATTTTTCCCTTCATTAATAAAAATTTCCATACATGTATATTCTTGCATAAGTCAGTTCATATTATAAAAAATCTTTGTTATTAAATAAAACTTTGTAAATCATGAATACATTTCAAACATCAACTACACGCAATTATAATTACTTATGATCAATAAAGCCACTGTAGATACAACAGTAAAGGATGCAATGAAAGTAAATCTTAAAACTGTTAAACAATTATATTTAAAAGTTTAATTATAAAAGCACTCTGTGTTGCATGAATCAACATTTCACAAAAATAGATTCGGTTGCGTTTTTTCTCTGCGTAAATACATTCTTCCTGTGTTCAAAATTTGCTTAATTTACAAATGTTCTTACTTTTAAAATGAATGGTTCGGTCAATACGATTAACAACATTTTCTTAGACACACAGCGATTAGTCAAATGTGGCGTCGGCAAAAAAGGGAGGTGTTGCATGGTTGGACATGCTCTCCTCTTTACATAAATTTTCACAGTTTTTTCCATTGACAATTATGTTATTTCACCACTCCCATACCTTTGAACAGGCTTTGCTTTCCTTTACCATGCAGCTTATTGTCAACAGTTAGAAAGTTGGTATATGAATTTAGATATGATTTCTCATGCATGTTTAGTCATACTTTATCGAGATGCTGCTTTAGCTAATTTGTTATGTCGGTAATGTAGTTCTAAAGTATCGCTTAATTTTTCTAAATCTATTTCCGTTTTAGAAGTAAAACGACCGTGTGAACAAAATTATGCTTGCTCTAGTTCTTTACATGTCACATACTCAACAAACGGATGGAAGATTTAATATAAACAACGCGACCACATACATATCAGATTAAAAATGGTGATCATAGTTCATGTCTTATTGTAACATCAATTTTTTATCCTTGTGAGTTTTGTTACATAAACACATCTAAATAACGATTGAAGATGAAGAGTGAGTCAGGATCTTCTTCAACAAACGGTATTATAAGACATTAATGACGTCTATGTCACGGTATAGGAATATACAGTAGGTCCACTTCGTGTGCAACTGGCTGCTGTATAATTAATTAGATTACTGGCTGCCGTTAGACATTTCATCATTCCTATTCGTTACAAAAGCAATTGACTGGCTGCAACTATGGTAATCGCATGCGTAAAAAGATATATGTGGCAGGATACATAAGATTGATAAAGAATTGAGATATTTTCGGTGTCTAAGGTTCTAGCAGGAGCGAGTGTATTTAGATTTTTTGTTCTTTCAATTATTAACTTAATAAACATTGTATTCTCTTTAATGAACGGAAGATTGCTTAAACTCTTTATCGACGAAATTAGAACTGGCAATCCAAATGGTTCAAATCAGATACTGGTCGCTGAAATAAGGAACTTCGAGGTTCTGAATGAAAAGCATCAATCATGTGATCACCATTTCCTTGAGCAATTAACATCATTGTGATCTTCTTTTGAAATGGCCATGTTTGTAGAGCATCGTAATCACCTAGAAATAATATCATACACAATATAAATTTTTATAATAATATGATATAAGTCTTAATAAATCTCAAGGCGTACCTTTCCCTTCTATCGTCTTTTATTTTCGTAAATGATCAAAAAAACTAAAAAGTATCGCATCTCACAAACAATTGTAAGCTTTAGTCTGCTTTTTCGGTGAATTGAAAATAAAATCTTTGCTTTATACTCTTCATGCCATGTTCTACATTATTTGACAACTTGTTCCAAGTAGGCATCTAACTTCGAATCCTATCTATTCCTAAAAGCACAGCGAGTAACGTGACGTATTCTGTACTCTTAGATACCATGCCTCTAGAGCAATCAAATTACATGATCTTAATTTTAACGCAATTTTTGCCATCATCTGCATGCTACCAAACATTCTTGGACAGCCTATTTTATACTTACAAAAATCCACTTCCGATTTTTGAGGCAGCTTAAGTAGAAACTGTTAAAAATAGCTTTACCTTTTATGAGAACAAAGAACAAAGATAAATGAGTTCCATTTCCCCGACTATCACCATTCATATAGATCTTAGCACACATCTTGTAACCATATTGAGAACTGTAAAATGGTGGACTGTACCAAGCATTCTTAACACCATTAATGGCGTCCTGTCGCTTTCGATTGATGTTGTCTATTCTCCAAAGTAACGTACCTTTATAGCTGTGTATGATTTGATCCCAGTGCGCGCTCTTCACTTTGTGCTTCGAGGTTCGTAATGTTCACCATGTTTCTCACTATTGATTCGTCTTTTTGATCTAAGCGCTCACGAAACCGTTGTATAGTGGAAGAATCGTCTCTCGCTTGTCGCTCAAGTGTTGCAATTCTTTCACGCAACAAGGAAACCTTTGGTGATAACTGGGTGTTATAACTATTGCTACAACCACGACCTGGAGACACTCAATTTTTCTTTCCAGACCTGAAATTTTGCCATCTAACATCACAAATTTTGTAAAGTAATATGCACGAACAGCAGTGACTTGCTCAACAAGTCTTCGCAATGGAGTGGTAAACTCTGGACGTAGTACGAAGTTATCAAGCTGTATAACAAATGCCATAACATATCGTAACAAGAGGCTCACGTGATTAATTGGAGTGTCATTCATATGTTGTCTGATCTCCTTTCGTTTTAAAGTCTGTGAAGTGAGAAAAAGATACTGCCAGCACATTCTTTTAACAAAATATTTGATGCTATTTACTGGTTATTTCATTTCAATCTTTATGTATGAATAAGACATTATGTATCATTAATAAATCTTGTTTCTCAAATTATATTTTATCTATAGAAAAAGTAAACAAGAAATTTCTTTTTTTGGCACGTCTCAGCTTTTCCTGACCCCCCCAGTCTCCATATACATGTAGAATAAAGAGTACAAAATAAGTTAATACGGCAGATTGAATTATATTTACTGCAACTTGCTTATCGGGAAAGCTCTGGCTCCTTAGCTTGGGTAAATTATCAAGTATCTTAATAATCATATGTTCTGAATTTAGAAATTTGTAAATGGGTGAATATATAAATGTGTACTTCATGTAAACCTGATGCAGCTGCATTTAACTACAAAGTCAACGTTTTTAACATTGTTTGTTTCAAATTTTAAAACTTTTAAGCATTTCTATACCATACTATCATCTCAAGAATTTTGACGTAAAATTTTTAAGCAAAGAACAAATGCAAGATTGTCGATGGGAGCTACTACGCATCTACTACTGCTGACATGAAATTATAAATCAGTCGAAACATTCTTACTTTATCATAGTTGCATCCAATGGTTTGAAATTCACATTTCGTCGGCACTTCATCACAAGTCGTACTTTCATGATGCTCAATATCTTTCCTTGGTATCATTTGAATACAATACTTACAAACCACTCGATAATTTTCACACATTATTTCTTCGTGCTTCTATATGTTAAAAGAAAATAAAAGCAACATTTTTGAGCATAGATTTGCGTCGAATGATCAACAAAGGAAAGTTCCAACTGATGTATAAAATAGCGTTGGAGACAGATGTTTATGCATCATAATGTGAGGTGAAAAGGTTCAATTATTTTCCCGGTTCTCATGGTAAAAATGTTTTTTAGAAATATTCTGTGGTGAATGTTTCTTTGTAGTTAACTCAATGTTACTTTGATCAGTGAACGAATATTCCTCGTACCTTCAGTGAAGCATACGGGACATCTTTACCACAATATTCACATTTCACATTTCGATATTCACATTCATTATTCAAATGTTCATCAAGAAGAGAGCGAGGTAACTGAATGTTACACTGTTTATGTACGCAGCTGATGAGCGCATGCTCACAAACTTGAGAATGACCCTGACGAAATAAAACTTTAATTAGTAAGTAATAAAGAGATATATAGACTGGTTTCTTTCGTAATAAATGAAAGGCAAGTGAATTTTCGTTTAGAACCGTCCGAAGCAAAAATTGATACAGCTCTATGAAAATTTCCCGCGTCAAAACTATGGAATATTTTCACCTAATTTTTTTTTCTTAATTTTTCTTGATCTTCGGGACATTTTGGACCAGGACCTCTGCAGATTGAGCAAATATGAAAGCATTTATCAAATGAAAAGAATAAAAAATTGAGGAAAGGTGAAGAGACCTCAAAGGATGACTTTGGGTTAGCTGCTAAACTTAGCCACCCTCTTATTTGTAAGAGTTGCAAACAACTTTTCATACAAATTAGAATCTGTGAGAAATAATTAAATAGCTATTACCTTAAGAAAAAAAAAGGGTGCACTCAATGCAATTCCGTGTTGACAATAGGAACAACTTTGAAACTATAGTGAGCAAGTATACCTTTCTTCAACCATTCTCTTGGTTCAATGTCACCGTGAGCACACTTGTATAGTGAGCAAGTATACCTTTCTTCAACCATTCTCTTGGTTCAATGTCACCGTAAGCACACTTGTACAGTGAGCAAGTATACCTTTCTTCAACCATTCTCTTGGTTCAATGTCACCGTAAGCACACTTGTACAGTGAGCAAGTATACCTTTCTTCAACCATTCTCTTGGTTCAATGTCACCGTAAGCACACTTGTACAGTGAGCAAGTATACCTTTCTTCAACCATTCTCTTGGTTCAATGTCACCGTAAGCACACTTGTACAGTGAGCAAGTATACCTTTCTTCAACCATTCTCTTGGTTCAATGTCACCGTGAGCACACTTGTATAGTGAGCAAGTATACCTTTCTTCAACCATTCTCTTGGTTCAATGTCACCGTAAGCACACTTGTACAGTGAGCAAGTATACCTTTCTTCAACCATTCTCTTGGTTCAATGTCACCGTGAGCACACTTGTATAGTGAGCAAGTATACCTTTCTTCAACCATTCTCTTGGTTCAATGTCACCGTAAGCACACTTGTATAGTGAGCAAGTATACCTTTCTTCAACCATTCTCTTGGTTCAATGTCACCGTAAGCACACTTGCTGAAAAGTGGTTCATCCAGTTCATCATGTTTGTTTATAACATGGCTTAGTAAAGACACAAATTTTGCCCAAATTAATGTACCCTCCCCTGAGAAAGTTGATGTTGCACTCCATAGAAAGTGATTCTCAAAAGGACGAATCCATTGTGAAAGGACTTCATTTCCTTTTTCCTTGCACAGCTTTGTCAATACTTTTACAATTTCTACAATGAAGTAACAAATTTAATTTTACATATTCAAAACAGAACACAACCTGCATCTTTTATACAATAACTGTACTAACTTTTCTTAATGTACCATAGGTCAAAATAATGTGTTATTTGATTCAGATTCTCACGCATGTACTTCTGTATTGATTTGTAGCAGTCTGTCACCATGGTAGAAATATTTATACAATAACTGTACTAACTTTTCTTAATGTACCATAGGTCAAAATAATGTGTTATTTGATTCAGATTCTCACGCATGTACTTCTGTATTGATTTGTAGCAGTCTGTCACCATGGTAGAAATATTTATACAATAACTGTACTAACTTTTCTTAATCTACCATAGGTAAAAATAATGTGTTATTTGATTCAGATTCTTACGCATGTACTTCTGTATTGATTTGTGGCAGTCTGTCACCATGGTAGAAATATTTATACAATAACTGTACTAACTTTTCTTAATGTGCCATAGGTCAAAATAATGTGTTATTTGATTCAGAGTCTCACGCATGTACTTCTGTATTGATTTGTGGCAGTCTGTCACCATGGTAGAAATATTTATACAATAACTGTACTAACTTTTCTTAATGTGTCATAGGTCAAAATAATGTGTTATTTGATTCAGATTCTCACGCATGTACTTCTGTATTGATTTGTGGCAGTCTGTCACCATGGTAGAAATATTTAACAATAACTGTACTAACTTTTCTTAATGTGTCATAGGTAAAAATAATGTGTTATTTGATTCAGATTCTCACGCATGTACTTCTGTATTGATTTGTGGCAGTCTGTCACCATGGTAGAAATATTTATACAATAACTGTACTAACTTTTCTTAATGTGTCATAGGTAAAAATAATGTTTTATTTGATTCAGATTCTCACGCATGTACTTCTGTATTGATTTGTGGCAGTCTGTCACCATGGTAGAAATATTTATACAATAACTGTACTAACTTTTCTTAATGTACCATAGGTCAAAATAATGTGTTATTTGATTCAGATTCTCACGCATGTACTTCTGTATTGATTTGTGGCAGTCTGTCACCATGGTAGAAATATTTATACAATAACTGTACTAACTTTTCTTAATGTGTCATAGGTCAAAATAATGTGTTATTTGATTCAGATTCTCACGCATGTACTTCTGTATTGATTTGTGGCAGTCTGTCACCATGGTAGAAATATTTATACAATAACTGTACTAACTTTTCTTAATGTGTCATAGGTAAAAATAATGTGTTATTTGATTCAGATTCTCACGCATGTACTTCTGTATTGATTTGTGGCAGTCTGTCACCATGGTAGAAATATTTATACAATAACTGTACTAACTTTTCTTAATGTGTCATAGGTAAAAATAATGTGTTATTTGATTCAGATTCTCACGCATGTACTTCTGTATTGATTTGTGGCAGTCTGTCACCATGGTAGAAATATTTATACAATAACTGTACTAACTTTTCTTAATGTGTCATAGGTAAAAATAATGTGTTATTTGATTCAGATTCTCACGCATGTACTTCTGTATTGATTTGTGGCAGTCTGTCACCATGGTAGAAATATTTATACAATAACTGTACTAACTTTTCTTAATGTGTCATAGGTAAAAATAATGTGTTATTTGATTCAGATTCTCACGCATGTACTTCTGTATTGATTTGTGGCAGTCTGTCACCATGGTAGAAATATTTATACAATAACTGTACTAACTTTTCTTAATGTGTCATAGGTAAAAATAATGTGTTATTTGATTCAGATTCTCACGCATGTACTTCTGTATTGATTTGTGGCAGTCTGTCACCATGGTAGAAATATTTATACAATAACTGTACTAACTTTTCTTAATGTGTCATAGGTAAAATAATGTGTTATTTGATTCAGATTCTCACGCATGTACTTCTGTATTGATTTGTGGCAGTCTGTCAC